AGCCTATTCCCCCACCACCAGATCATGATTTTTAAATTTTGTAAGTGGATGTTTGAGGCCAAAAAACAAAACAAAAACGTTTGCAAAATTAATTTTCAAGGTGTAATTTTTTAAGGAGAAGTTGTGGCCACATGGAGTTTCATTTTTAAACATTTTTTTTAAAACGATTTTGTAAAAGTGAAAAAATCCAACTGTTTTAATTATTTTTGTTCAAATTATGCATATAGGAGCATTTGACATTGTTCTATTCTAAATGTACTTATGAATCGTTGCGGAGAAAAGCTCTTATTTGTCTCCAAATAATACTGCAACATAAAGATTTTCTTGAATAGTTTATTTCAAAGCAAGGCAGTGACAAGAAACGACCGAAGCGCTCACATCGGTTGCCAGATGAACTATAGCAACCCTATTGGTTGCTGGTACAAATTTGTGCCATTATTGAGCACAAATTTGTGCCATTATTCAATGCTGCGTTGCCCAACTGTCACTACTACCATGCTTTGGTTTATTTGTTGTATTACAACAAATAAACCGCGTGAAAAAAACTTCATGTTGCAGTATTACAATACTTGGAGAAATATAAGAGCTTCTTTTTCTCCGCAACGATTCATATAATTTACCGTTTTCAGTAGACATTGATATTTTAATCAATTCTTTTCTAGAATTATGTCATTGACAACGAACATATCACTTTTGGCCTGTTTAATTATTTTTCAAAAAATGAGTTTAACAAAGATAATGTCATCTGGCTCGGTTTTTGTTTGTAAATTTTCTTTCAATCACATTTTCGAAGAAAAATACATTGATATACTGATGATGAATCAGGCACAAAATGAATACATCATAAATCTTGATTGTTGTATTAATTTCATCAGACTTATGGGTAAAATTATTTGTGGTAATTGTGAAATGGAACTTGGCTATCAAATGGATAACATGGAAGAAGAAACTCTTTGGTTTGGTAAATATTCTAGAACAACTAATTCAAAGTAAACTCTTTAAATTTGTAATAATTTTGTGATTTTTAAAATTTGTGTAAAAAATATTTTTATATGTTTATTTCTTTGGGAATCAAGTACACATTTCACTGAATTTACCGAAGACAATCAAGAAGAATCTAATGAATATGTCACATGAGTTGTTAATTTTTTGGTCGGGTATTATTACACTGTGCGTCATTTTTTAACTTTAAAAATGTGATGGAGACGAGACCCACCATTTCCACATAATTTGGGTATGCTGATTTCAATGGCACCACCCGTTTTTCTCTAACACGTCAGGATTTTCCACAATTTTCCTAGAGAGTTTTCCGGAAAACCAAAATTGGCTGTTTATACTCTAGTATCATTTTGAATTCATGCAATATCCCAGACGGGTGACCTATCAAGCGTTGTTATACGGTTCAAGTATAGTAAAGCCACACAATTCGTTTAAAAAAAAATTGAGTCATTTGAAAAAAAATTGATTTGGTTATTCCCCTCTGAAGTCCACATTTTGAAGTAAAATTGGTATCCATTCAAACGCTCCGAAAATGAGTATTTGTTGGTTTTTGGGCATGAAGAGACCGAATAAAACGCTTTTTCTGTTATAAAATTAGATTTGAATACACTTACCACACGTTGACATTTTTGACCATTTTGGATACTTTTTGTGTGGTAAGTGTATTCAAACCCAATTTTATAGCAAAAATAGCGTCATATTCGGTCTTTTTATGCCAAAAAACCCCCAAATACTCATTTTCAGAGCGTTTGAACGGATACCAATTTTACTTCAAAATGTGGACTTCAGAGGGGAATAACCAAATCAATTTTTTTTCAAATGACTCAATTTTTTTTAAAACGAATTGTGTGGCTTTACTATACTTGAACCGTACTAAAACGCCTGATAGGCACCTCTCTGGGATATTGCATGAATTCAAAATGTTACTAGAGTATAAACAGCCAATTTTGTTTCTCCGGAAAACTCCCTAGGAAAATTATGGAAAATTCCGACGTGTTAGAGAAAAACGGGTGATGCCATTGAAATCAGCATACCCAAATTATGTAATAATGATGGGTCTCTTCTCCATCACATTTTGAGTGACGCATAGTGTAATTATTATCTCATTAAAAATCAATTATATCAAGTGTGTTTTTCATTAAATGTCTCTGGAACACGTTCATTCGCAGTGGCCTTCTTCAGGAACTCGAACGAATGCAATTCTTTACTTTTGTTACCATCATTTTATTGCCCTAATTATTTTTAACTTTATTTGAGTAACTTTTAAAATACAGTTTTGATTTTCTATTTCATTTATTTTTTTAAATTACATTTTTGGAGCTATTTCATTGGACATTATTATTATTATGCAGCTTCTGGTATGTCTGGATTTATCTTTGAAGTTGTGTTTTGGTCCATAAATATGTATTTCTTTCCGTTATATTCTTTGATTCGACCTCCATTTATTAATAATATTGGTGTGTTTTTTACATTTAACTTAAGAAATCTTTTCGATAGAAGCACATTTAATTCCTTCACCAACTTCAAACAAATGTTTTGAGCAGAAATTTGACTCTTATTTTGAAATTTTGAATAATCTACAATGTTTTGTAGAAAATTTAGAGTATACATATTCAACGTAAATAACTTTTTTTTTTTAAATCGTGTAGATTTTCCAACCCAGCTTAATTGTGATCAAGTTACTGCAAGCATACATTTTTGTGCATACATCTATGGATGTGAAAATTTGCTCGGAGGGCATCTGGAAAAAACACTTTCTAAAGGTTTCTAGCTAGGTTTTTAGCATGCTGAAGCCGAATTTTTAGGTTTCAGGTCAAAAAAATCAGGGGGTGGGGGGAGTTGGAGGGCAGCTGACCCAAAAAAAATTCTCTCATCATTTTGAACAACTTTGTAGAACATAATTTTTTGATCCGATGAGAAAATCGGCATCAACAAAAAAATTGGAAAAAAAAGAAGTAAACGACCATTTTTACTAGTTTTTGTATGGAAATCGTATCAAAACGTTATTATATCGCAAAATAAATGTCAAAAATGGATTTCTTGATCCCAAAAAACCCCGCATACACATTTGGCTAGAGAAAAAACAATGTTTAAAAATGTTTTTACAAATTTAAATGCAATATTTAATGAAAAAATAAGTGAAGAAAACTTCTTATTCTGATACAAATTTAACGTGATTTTATTTATTAGGCACTAAAATGCTAACGTTTTCGGAAACAATGTTTCCATCATCAGGCGAGCTATAAAACTGAAATCTGTACAAAAATTATGTCATATGTTTACAATTAGAAATTTTAGTTGATGTTTAAAATATGAAACAAATTTGAAAAGAGAATGTAGAAAAGTAATGGTATTTAAATTGAAAGATATTTAAATTCAAATAAAAACGTAGATCCGATGAAAGTAGGCGCCCGATTCACATATTGAATATGTCATCTGTTGTAATTGGTGATGTTAATTTGTAAAAAGAAGTTTGTACTTGTGTTCATGTTATTACCCATTGTTTTATGAATAAAAATATTTTCCCATGCATCCAAATAACGAGGTGCGTTGACTTCTTTAAGAATATCTAAGTCGATTTTTAAATATTTTGGAAAATATCTATCTAGAAAAATTGGGTGGCTACAAATTCATTTTGGACATATGGTTTCTTGGGCAAAAACTCTTGTCCGCAAAAAAAATTGATACATAGAACCGTGAGAGGGTACATCGTGAGAGGGTACATCGACAAAAAATTTGACCCACCCTAATATATATATCTGGGTTGGTATTTAGATTACTTTGATACATAATCTACATTTTGTAAATGAAGATTACTGCCATGTAAATTACATATTTTTTCCCATGTAATCTACAAAATTTGTAGATTTTTCAATTTTGGCTAACAAATATAGTGAAACCACCAGAAATTGTATCAAAATACCGAAAATTGTATGGAATTTTTATTATAATTTTTATTGAGAATGTGTCTGTTGGACTTTTAACATAACAAATCTTTTCAATAGAAATTCATTCACCAACTTCGGACAATGTTTTGAGTGGCAATTTGACTCTAATTTTGAATTTTTGAATAATCTACAATGTATTGTAGAAAATGTAGAGTATACATATTCTACGTAAATTACATTTAAAAAAAAAAAATTTTTTTTTTTAAATCGTGTAGATTTTCCAAACCAGATATATATATACCAGTAATGTGCGAGGAAAATTTTTCAGGGAGGTGGTTTTTCGAAACCAAAAATTTCTCTAGCAAATCAGACAAATTTTCGTATTTTTTTTTTTTTGAAGTCACTTATTGACGCGAAAATCAACCCCCCCCCCCCCCCCTTCGCACATTACTGATATATACAGTGCCGTCAAAAAGTTTGGACTCAACCATTTATTTTTCATACAATTTCATACAAATTGAACATTTTTTGAGCATTATTTAATATATTTCGGAAATAGCTAGACCCTTAAATTTTTGTACATTTATTGTTCAATATATGGAGACAAAGCCAGTGAAGTTTCACCAAAAAATATAATCGCGTTTCAAAGATACATCCGTTTGAATGTTGATTTTATGAAAAATGACAGATTTTATAGGAAAAATCATCATTCTTTATACAGTCAACATTTAAACGAATGTATCTTTGAAACGCGATGATATTAAATATAATGTTTGTTTTACATTTTAAATGATATTTCTATAGAGAAATACAATTTAATGGTATAATGTCAAATATTAAACTATTTTCTAAATCCTAAAATTATTAAATATAAAAAATGATTGTTATTCAGTATATAATTTTGATAGTCAGGAAGAAAAGCTTGGTAAATAAATCAAAATAAGCATTGCAAAGACATGGAAGGAGGAGTTTAGAATTAAATGTTTAGCTCAAGATGAAAATATTTGAATATATTGATTCCAGTCTATTAAAAAAATTAATTTTTCCATTCGTTTTTTGTTTTGATTTGGTTCATCCCAAAATATTAAATGAAATTAATTTATTACATTTCAGTATCCCAACAAGAAAATGTTACCGGTCATGGAACTTATGTGGAATATGTCGATTCTGGACTGTATGCAACATCTACGCAAAGCCAAACACAAATGTAATAACGAAAGAATTGTCAGGTTTTTATTTTCTTGTTTAAATCATCATTTCAATGATACTGTTAAAATACCCGTATTTTTGCTATAAAAAGTTAGTCATATTATTTTTTTTCTGCGAGAAGTATTTTTAATTTTTGCTTGACCTTCAATAATAAATTATTTGAATGGTTTAAAATATTTATGATCTTCAATCATTCTTCAAAAAAAAAAAAAGTATTACTGTTCAAATGCAATACTGGCTAGCGTCGAAAATAAATGTGATACATTCAAAAAAAATTAACGCGAGTTAGAATGTCATTAGTTTTAACTCAATATCTTGTATCAGTATTTTTTTAAATCCCACTATAAAAACCTCTTTCTTATTTCAATCTGATATGCTCATTAATATTAAATCTACAATGTTTGGTATTTATTGTGATTTTAATAGGGCATATCCAGTATACGTTAATGAATATACATCAAGTACGCAACAGCAATATTATGCAGCAAATGAGTCGTTTTCGGGTACAGGAACTCATCAAAATGAGACCTATATTGTGCCAGTAGAAGAATCCTTAATATCAAATCAATCACGCGAGTCACCACAAGCAATATCTGCTGTAAGTGTTATTTTATTTTATTTTTAGAAATATGACCATTGGAATAATAGTAGTAATAGTAATACAGATGTGTACCACTGAAGGCTGATAAGTTTCCGGAATGGAGTAGGGGAGACTGGGGCTAAGTTGGCCGGATTTGGGTTTTTGGCTGAAAAGTCAGTCTAAAATATATTCAAGCCATAAGTGTTATATACCATTTTAAAGCTTGTTCTTTTGGCTATAAAATGGAACCGTATGCTTTTGAAAATATGCACTAGTATTAACGCTACTTCGCTGGGAAGGTGACTACCCCGAAATCGAAAATCACAAAAATGGTGGGGCTAAGTTGGCCACCCCATGGGGCTAAGTTGGCCATGCAAATTTTAGACAAAAATTAGTCACAAATTTGCGTTTTTTTTTGGTTTGAACTGAAAGCAATATCTTTAATGATACATTTGGGATTGTTTGCATACAAAAAACTTATATTTCAAGTGAGTTTATTTGAATATAATGACAATAGAAATGACAAAAAAAAATATTTTGAAGATAAATCCACGCAAAAAGAAGGTGTCAAAGCCAACGAATTTGACAAAGGCTAGCTCAGAGCCTAATTCAATGGCGGTTTCACATCTCCAGTCAAAAGTCGTTGGCAGGAATATTACAGCCACCTCAAATCCTAACAAGAATTTTAATTCCAAAGTGGCAAATGGTGATTTTGGGCATCGGGTCGGTCATACAATTAACTCAAAATTGTATGAAACAAAAACGGTCTATATTTCACCGTTTCGGCCTGATACTACTGTCGATGATATCACCGATCATTTGAAATCACACCAATGTTACAGTGTTGTAGGTGACTTGAAGGTGATCAAACTGGTGAGCCAAAATAAAGACACAAGGAAAATATCGTTCGTTTCCTTTAAAATAGAAGTGCCTAATCGTTATTTCGACATTATTATGGACAGTTCCATTTGGCCACCAAAAGCCAAAGAGTTTGTTGAAAATTCACTGCCTGGCAAAAACAACTCTAAATCAGTTCCACCTCCCAAACGAACCGTAAAGAATCCAAAAAACAAGGATCATGCCTCGTTCAGGCCACCAATTCTTGGTCGAAATCGACGAAAGCCACATCAAAGGCAAACAATTTCACTGAAATCGATTGCCAACTTGTTGCCGCTGCTGTATCAGTGCCTACTCAGTCCACTGATGGGTTCGTACAGTCAGCCCCAGCAAAATCGTCGCAACTAAGCAACACGAATCACTCTCTCTCTCCTCCAACGACTTTGGTGTGCAATGATATTTATTATCAAAATGTTCGTGGCTTGCGCACCAAATCAAAACAATTTTTCTGCAATTCGTCGGCATTTGCACATTCGATTGTTGTTTTAACGGAAACATGGTTGAACCAGTCTCATTTTTCGTCAGAATTCTTTGACAATTCATACCATGTTTACCGTAAGGATCGTTTTGAGACTGGTTCATTGTTAAGTCGTGGTGGTGGTGTACTCATCGCAGTCACCTCAAAACTAACATCCACCAACATTGTATTCGATGACGCAAGTGAATTGGAATATGTCTGCGTTAAAGTCAGCATTAATACAAAACTCAATGTATTTATTTATGCTGCGTATATTCCGCCAAACTCACAGCCGGAAATATACAAACGCCACTCGATTGCCATAAGCCATATTCCATCGAGCCCAATTGACACTATTATTGTATTGGGAGATTTTAATCTACCTCTTGTCAATTGGATTATGGATGACGATGAACATAACGTCGAAGTTTCTTGTCCATCGCCTTTATCTGCCATTGATGAACAATATCATCCACCTATTACCTAGACGTATGAATGGCACATAAATAACTTAACTCAAGAGCAAATTCCAACTAGAAACTTCCTTAAAGCCGACTACATTGCAATGAATAGGTACTTTGCCAAAATCGAAATTTCCAAACACTTTTCAAATAAGCCTCTTGACCATAAAGTCGACATTTTGCACCAAATTATTAACGAGGCGATTGAAAAGTTCGTACCTGTTCGAACGAAAAACATTACATCGAAATGTCCGTGGAACAACAAGCAACTCCAGTCTCTCAAAAATAAAAAGAACAAGGAGTGGAAAAGATCGAAGTCAACTAACAATGACTCTGACTATTTGCTTGCGCTTGAAAATTACAGCAAACTTAACACGGAACTGTACAATTCGTATGTCGACAAAATGACTTCTTCATTGAAGTCCGACCCTACATCGTTCTGGCGTTTTGTCAACACGAAGAAAAACAGTGACTGTGACCCAAAATCGTTGCATTATGGTGACAAATCATCGGTTGATAAGATGGAGCAAGCTGAAATGTTTGCAACATTTTTCAAAAACAATTTTGCAAATCAACCGTCTCCAATTCAATCGACAGCACAAGCGTCAACTCAAACAAATTCTTCCGTTGACAATTTCATTCTTAACGAATTTTCTGTTTTTGACGAGTTAATAAAAATTAACTCTAAGAAAGGCGCAGGACCGGACGGAATTGTACTGGCTTATTATACGAACCGCTGTCAATGATTTTCAATGATTCGCTTTCCACTGGACACTTTCCTACGAGATGGAAACGTTACAGCGTTGGACCAATATTCAAAAAGGGATCACGTTCTAACGTTGAAAATTATCGGTGCATTGCCAAATTGCCAACGATCGCCAAGTTTTTCGAATATTTGATTAATTTGGAGATCAGCAAGATAAAATAGTAGCCGATAAAATAGTTCCACAACAACATGGTTTTATGAAAGGTCACTCGACTTCGATGAATCTTTTAGAATTCCTGCACTATTCTATGAAGGCAGTGAACGAAGATAAGCAGGTAGAGGTACTTTATACTGACTTCAGTAAGGCATTCGACATTGTTGATCATTCGATTCTGATTTCAAAACTACAAAACTTCGATCTGCCTCCTAACTTAATCGAATGGATCAAATCGTCGTCAATTCGTGAAATATGGCCAAATGGAGTCAAGTGAGTTTGTCGTTAACTCAGGAGTTCCTCAGGGAAATCACTTGGGCCCCACCCTATTTCTGCTTTTCATCAACGACATTGTTAATTCCATTAAGGATGACGACATTTTTATCTCTCTGTTTGCTGACGATTTGAAATTGGCAACTTCAATCGCTAACACCAATGACTGTATCAAACTTCAAGTTGCAATCAATAAATTAAAAAATTGGTGCGAAGCAAACAAACTTCATTTAAATCTTGACAAATGCTCTGTTATGTCAATATCAAAAAAAAGGGAGCAAATCGTAAGTTCCTACTCTTATGGCAGTCACAAATTCAAGAGAGTGAGCGAACAAAGAGATTTGGGAGTTATCTTTGACAACAAACTTAACTTCATCAAACATATCGATTCAATTGTGGCCAAAGCAACATCAGCACTCGGATTCGTAAAGAGATTTTGCTACGATATTCCGGATGTCAATACTCTCAAGTCATTATATTGCGCCCTCGTACAATCAATCTTGGAGTATGGCTGTTTGGTATGGCTCCCGTACCATGATATACACAAGAACAAAATCGAATCGTGCCTGCGTCAATTCTCAATGTTTGCTCTCAAGGAGTATCCAAATATTTAATAAATTAAAAAAATATTTAAAAAATAATAATAATAAATAGCTATTACTGTAAGAAGTAGCTAATTAGTTATTAGAAATCTTTATTAAAAGATGTGGTTTTTAACGGTGATCAGATGTATACCAAATGTGTATCATTGATTCATACCTTTTTCCCACCAAACAAATGTATAAAAATTATGTACAAACTCAAAAGATTCAGCCAGTTTTGGCGGTGAATAAATATTATTATTATTATAATATTATTCTACCAATTCCCAGTCATCATCTGATTCTTCTTCTTCGTCGGAGATACAGTTTGGGCATGTGAATACATTGTCTATGGTGCGTACACAATCGACGTGTGCTATGAGACGGCATACAATGCAAATTTTTAATCTTTGCGTTTTCAGTATTATGTTTTGAGCCCGTAATTCATCACTGTAACATCGTCTATGCTTGTTCATCGGATGTTTTCTTTATACAGTTTGCCAATGTGTTTCGATTGACACCATGTAATGAAGCTGTATTTCAAAATGAAATTTTGTCAAGACGAACTAAAAGAACAGCTGCTTTTATATTTGATTTATCAACCCCAGCCGTTTTACGCTTTTATTTTGCTTTAACAACACACTGAATTGAAAAGAAAATGATGTGTACTAAATGTGTGCTTCGAATGTGTTCAGAATATTTTACAAACACTGAAATCGATGAAAATTCAAAAATGATGTGGCCAACTTAGTCCCACCAATTTTTGGCCAACTTAGCCTCACGTGACCATTTTGATTTCATGAACTTCATTTTTCTTTTATTTCCAAGTTTTTAGAAGTAACAATAGTATCATTCAATAGTAGTCTTAAGCTTCAAAAATAACTTATCAGATTTTCCGTGCGAATGAATTTTAACCATAAATCCAAAAAATCTGAGCTTTTTTTTACTTTGAAAATAAAAACACTATGTTTGCACTTGTGAACGTCTGTCTGAATACTGACTTCCACAAATTGAAGTTGGCCCCCCTAATTTTTGCGATTGCCTTGAAACCTTTTTAGGGATTTAGTGACTAATTTGTGACACCATTATTTCGTCCCATTGAATAGACTTTTGGCCCACTTTTGGCCATTTTTCTATTTAGGCCTATTGGCCAAAAAGTCTCTTAGCGAAATTTTGAATAAAAGCAAAAAATAAAAATCTAATGATGCAGAATTTTAGTGATTAATTTGTGACTCACAAATATGACTTTGGATTTTCGGTACGACATCTGGTGGACATATTATGAACAAAAAATTGAAAAATGCACAAAAATGATTTTAATTGAAAATTTGAAAAGGCTTTTCATAAAAATGGGCAAAGTTATAAAAATTCTTCTACATACTTTAAGTGACTAATTTGTGACTCCCAAAAATGTCAACATTTGAATTTGTGACACAACGTGTGTGACAAAAATCTCAATTTTTCGAATTGGACACGACGAAAGGTAGATCGATGACAAACATGATGATCAAAGTTGCACCAATGGGATAATCTTGACATTTTTGAGAGTCACAAAAAAACAAGTGGCCGAAGGTGTATTCCATGGACCGAAATAATGGTGTCACAAATTATCACAAATTAGTCAGTAAATCCCTAAAAAGGTTTCAAGGCAATCGCAAACATTTGCCAGGCTGGATAGGGGGGCCATTGAAGTTTGACACTAGCCATCATTTCATGTCATAATTACAGTGACATCGTAGGGTTCGATACGATGATCCAGTGCAAAGTTTTTGGTGGGTGGCCAACTTAGACCCGTGGCCAACTTAGCCCCAGTCTCATTTACTAAATGGTACCATATACAAAAATTATTTTTATGAAAATCAAATATGTAATGTTCCTTCAAACCTTCTCTGTAAAAATTTCAAATAATCCATGAGTTACAGCACTTGAAGGAGACCAACCTCAAAATACACCTTAAATCAATATTTAATCGCTTTTTCGGAAAGTGGGCTTTGGTGGATCCTCGCGATCATTCAATGGGTAAAATAAAAGTGAAAAATTGCTTTTATGCGTGGTTTTTTTTTGTCATTTTTTGGCTTTTTCTACTGCTCATTGGCCGCTCTATCGATAGCCGATGTGAAATCACTTGTGAAATCTAAAAGAAATTATCGAAAAATTGGTAAAAACCCCTCCCTCAATAGCAATTTTTACTTTGACCCGATTTTTCGACCCAATAGGGGGGCAGGTGGACCCACGAGGGGCATCGTCGGATTCAATTCAATTACCTTTTCAACGATATACATATGTCCAGGTATTTGAATTAAAGTTTAAAAAATGTGCCGACTGCCAAAAAATGATTTTTTCGATTTTTTTATATCGAAATAAATTCAACTTTTTATTTCTGTAAAATGATTATTTCGTTGTTATACGTATTGAAAAGGTTACAGAGCACAATTTTGAAGTATTCTGGTTAAGATGTTTTCATTTTAATGGAGCGTCGTATCACTAATAATAATTTAATGACGTCGAAAATTTGTGAATGCAAAATACTTACGTTCGATTTAATTAAATGTACCAGAAAATGAAAAAAAGTTGAAGTGAAGTGAGTTTAAATATAAAATATGGCTTCAATAGAGCAGAAAAATCAAGAACAATAAGCTGCAGACAACAATTCGATTTCATGATCACATATTCTGACGGATAATTGAAATTTCTTTTACTCACCAGTCAAATAGTCATACAGTACGTTTTTTTTATATAGAGTCATCGCAAAATTATTCTATATACATTTTATTTAGTATCTAAGCTACGGCGCACATAATCAATATTTAATCCATTCTCCTGCCTTCTCGATCACACGGGCACATCTATTTGGCATACTTTTGCTCAAATTTTCAGCATATTCGCGTTGAAAACCTTTCCACTGAATGAATGAACTGAGCTGCTTCAAATTGCGGTGTGTTTTACCACGAAGCCTTGCCTTAATAAGGGCCCAAACATTTTCGATCGGATTGCAATCGGGTGACTGAGGCGGCCAGTCCATTTGTTTAATGTCATTTTCCTCCTTCCAGCGGTGCTGAGACGACTTTTGTGTTTTGGATCGTTGTCTTCTAATAGAAGCCAATTCGAATTGCCGTTGCCATAGAACTTCTTGGCGGTGGGTAACAGTGTCGACGAATAAAGTTGGTTCATCCTCACAGCGTTTAGAATGCCCGTGAATACGGTCAACTTTCCAAAACCACCTTCACAGAAGCAACCATAAACATGCACCTTTTTCGGATGCTTTACCGTGCGAACGACCACTCTCTTTTGATTGCACAACAAACACTGTACTGATTTGAGAACTGTCATTTGAGTTGAGAATTAGAGAACAACAATAAAATAATGAGAAACAAACTGCAACTTAAGTTATGATGCAGTTTGTTATGAAATATTTCACTGTTGCTCACTAATCTCGAACTTCTATTGGTTGCCCGAAACGCCAATTTTCTCACTATTCAATAGGTGTCACAATGCAAGTTTATATGAAACTCTCGGAGACTCGGTATAGAGCACTCAAACAATGAAAAAAGTCCAGATCGTGATTTGGATGATAAGGAATGCGATTTTTTTCATTCTGATTTCACCAGATGATACAGAAAATTGAGTAGTATTTGTAAATCGAAGAAAAAAAATTTTTTTTTTTTCATTTTTCGCGACTTTTTCACCATTTACATGGGAGGCTTGTATGAAAAACACGGAAGACTGCTGAAATGACACGGTCGTATATCCGTACATATTTTGTATTGGTCATATTTCAAACATCGCAAAAAAAAGGTAGAAGACTTCGGTTGGGATCGGCTTGATCACCCCCCGTACTCTCCAGACCTTGCCCCTTCTGACTACCACTTGTTTCGATCAATGTAAATGGGCTTGTCTGAGATATCGTTTCGAAATCCTGAAGGAGTGTGAAAAATTTATTTTTCTATCTTTTTTCACCAAAAATAATCCAAATATAGACACTGTGCGTAATTTATCAATTAAATTTATCAAAATATTTATTCCACATAATTTCGGAGCGCTGAATTCAATGGCGTTCTTCTTTTTTCTCTATCACGTCGGAGTTTTCCTATATTTTTCTAAAAAGTTTTCCGGGAAATCAAATTTGACTGCAAATTAAAACAAGTGTTGAATCAAAAGAGTTTGAATTACGCTTCTGGTGTCTGAGAAAAAAATGTAGAGGTGACTTGGTTGAACAATTTTGCTCAAGTGACCGTACCCCTACAGGTACCCCCTACTTCACAAATTGGGATTAAACTCTAATTTTTAATGTCGATTATAAAAATTTCGGTGTTGAGTATTCGGCAAAAATGTTTCTCATATAAAATAAGGTACCCCATAATCGTAGACAATGGTCCATTCAGTGTAATGTAAATGTGCTATTCTATATCCTATGAATTAAACCTTTATTACCAATAAAAACGAATTTAATATTGTGTGTTTGTTGTTCAAATGCCAACGCCTGAATTTATTCCAAAGACTTTTTACACATATGTTAGTTTAGAATTTTAGATACCATATGTCATCACTGTGTAGTTTTCATGCAATAATAACAATATCGCAACGCGTCAAAAATGTTTTTGAAAAGGAGACAAAATACACATAGTAATTTTTGTATTACGGCAATTAAAAGAGCCACCAAATTATTGCTCTTAAAAATTAGAATTTGGCAGTTATTGAATTACTTGTTCATTATCTTTCAGAAAATAAATATTCGTTCGGTAAAGATTTTTAATATAACTGGTAAATCTTAAAATCTTAAAACGTTCAAAAAAAAATTGAATGTATTTTCTTATCAAAAATTTAATACATTTTAAAGATTCTATTAAAAATAAATGGATACTATTGGTTCCTATTTGAAATAGGATGTGGCATATGTTCACAACCAACAAACTTCAACTACGCCCACAACTTCTGAGTCGGATTGCGCGCCAAATATAGCACATGCAACACGTGTTTCTCCAGCGACGGTAAGCAATGTTGGGTTGAATTTGATTATTTGCAATAAAAATGCTTATCTCCTTTATTTCCTTTTTATTTTAACCTAATTTTATGTTACGTAAATACCTGAATTTAGAAATATATTTATTGGGTTGGTCGAATTTTTCCAATATTTGAGTTGGATGAACTTTATCAAACCAAATATATGCTTTTTGCTATTTTGTGAATCTTCTGAAATTTCTGGCCAAAAAAGTGGAACAAATCATTTTTGTGAGATTTTTATATCTTTCAAGCAAGAGAGTTTCACAGAGATTGAAAGAAATGGCATTATGATAATGTAAGGTCTTAACTATGTGGTGTACACATAATATTTCCCGAAAAATCTCTCTCAGGTTTTTGATGTGTCTCATTTGACATCGTCAAGACGAAGAGCAATACAGGGGAAGGGAAAAGTTTCTAGCCTAGCATATAAAGAGAAGTGTTTTCAAATCATTCTTATGCTGTAATTGAGGTATGAACCTTCAAATGTGTCGTCACAAAAAATTAGGTTGATATCTCTTATAGAGAGTTTTCTACGTTAGTCAATTGGTCATCACCTCGAAATCCTTGAAAATTTTTATAAAATCGAGCACCGCATTTTTAGAAATACTAGCTAGAGGCCGGTCAAAATAAATGCAATAGATGGTGAATTTGAATCAAGATTCAGGTGGTGCAATGCTTTTCCAAATATTCACTTGCGAGCTGTCATACGAAGACAAATTTTCTCGCCAGAAGAAAACATTATTTGACTTCTACTACATAACGCAATCCATACATCTATTGAGCGTGGTACAGACCCAAGACCATAGTACGAAGCCCGATCATAGTATAGGATTTCCTATATAATCCTTGTAACTAACAACACCTCTAATGCGTATTCCGAGTACTAATCGA